ATGTGTAGTGTATGTGTATGTGAATATATGTATATGTGTATATGTATAATATATTATTGTATATTTTTTTTTTAATTAAAAAATAATTTGCGACGGATTTTTCTGTTGCAAATCCAATCGCAAATTTTGTTTATTTTTTAAAAATTTTAAAAAAGTATTTGCGATGGATTTTTCCGCCGCAGATCCGTCACAAAATGCAGATTTTGTCCGTCGCAACTTTGCGACGGATTAATGACCGGCAAATTTTTACGAAAACTATATATGGACGAAAATTAGTCTGTCGCTTTCTGTCGTAAATTTATAATTGCGACATATTTTATTTATGTTTGTGACGGATTTTTCCGTCGCAAATTCGGATGTTTCTTGTAGTGATACAACAATGATCCACAAGAACCATACAAGTAATAATAACATGCAACTATATCACATCAATCACATGTCCATGTGGCATCGCATCATAGGGTTAGCCATAAACCCTAGTCACATCGCATGATTAGTGCACCTCACATGCCCCACTTCTCGTAACGTTGGTCGTGACATCACACGACAATATGAGCCTCACGCGCGTGTCACATCTCGTGACTACCGATGTCACCTCGCATTACACAATGAAAATACAACACCATTGTACCCATATGGCATCACACCATAGAGCTAACCGTAAACCCTAGTCACATCGCATGTCTAGGAGCGCATCATACACCCATCACATCGCATGACGTTGGTCGTCGCATCGCACGACAATCAAGTCCATATGGAGCCGCACCATATGTATAGCCTACAATCCTAGCCACATTGCATGGCTAGGTACGCCTCGCACGCCTGTCACATCGCACGACGTTGGCAATCGCATCCCACGGTCATCAAAACTGTTTGGCATCCCACCATAGGTATCACCTACAATCCTAGCCACATCGCATGGCTAGGTGCGCCTCGCACGCCCGTCACATCGCATTATGTTGGCCGTCGCATCGCAGGACAATCAAGTCCATATGGCATCATACCATAGGTATAGCCTACAATCCTAGCCACATCGCATGGCTAGGTGCACCTCGCACGTCCGCCACATCACATGACGTTGGCCATCGCATCCCACGATCATCAAAACCGTATGACATCCCACCATAGGTATAGCCTACAATCCTAGCCACATCGCATGGCTAGGTGCGCCTCGCACACCCGTCACATCGCATTACGTTGGTCGTCGCGTCGCACGACAATCAAATCCATATGACATCACACCATAAGTATAGCCTACAATCCTAGCCACATAGCATAGCTAGATGCGCCTCCCACGCCCGTCACATCGCATGACGTTGGCCATCGCATCCCACGATCATCAAAAACATATGGCATCCCACCATAGGTATAGCCTACAATCCTAGCCACATCATATGGCTAGGTGCACCTCGCATGCCCGTCACATTGCACGACAATCAAGTCCATATGGCATCGCACCATAGGTATAGCCTACAATCCTAGCCACATCGCATGGCTAGGTGCATTTCATATGCCCTTCACATCGCATGACGTTGGTCGTCGCTTCGCACGATAACATCACCTCAAGCGCTTGTCACATCACGACATCCGATGTCACTTCGCATGACACAACGGGATACAATTACAATCACGCTCTTGTCGCATCGCACGAGTGAGCTTCAACCATAGCATTCAACGTGCATCATCATCCCTCAGGCTACAATCACACGTGTCACGGTATCTGACCTCTCACCGTTTTAGCGTTCAATGCCATGCAATGCTACCCAAAAATAAGCACACAACGATTCACTCGCGATATTTATCCTCACATCTCACCATGCGCAATCATTCAGTTTGTTCGGATTTCTTTTCTCTTTTCTCTAAAGTTCTGGACCGGACTAGAATTCGGTCCGGTGAACCAGAATTTGGTCCGGTCAAACTGGATGTGGTCCGCCCCCTCTTCGGTGGTCAATCGGACTATTTTTTTTTTGTCTAAAACAGGTCTGGTCCGCCGGACCAAGTTTTGGTCCAGTCGGACCAGGCTTCCTCAACTTCTTCTTCTTGGTCTGGCGGAACTAAATATTTCTCAGACTTGGTCCGGAGCTGACCAGTTTCTGGTCCGGCAGACCGGAACTGTGTAGTTCGTCCGTTCGCTTTTTTCAGGTTCTTGGTTCGATTTCGTGCTCATAACTTACTCGTTCTTAACCAAATCACAAACCGTTTATTTCTAAATGTTCATTGGGATGCCATCTTTCACATCCAAGTAATAGATTATTTTAAAATTATGTCTACACATTGAAAAACGATTCGTAACCCCTGTACCTCGAAAAAATCGCGACTCTGCAAATTTCAGTTTTTCCACAGTTTTAATTCATTTATATCTCCCTCGTTTCTCAACCAAATTGAGTACCGTTGGTTTCTAAATTCTCATTTAAATGTTCTCTTTCACGTTCAATCAATAAACCATTGAGATATCATGGTCACACGATGAAAAAGAGAGTACACAGAAGCAACTCAAGCCACTCACCTGTTCTTGGATCATATTCTTTTTGAATCTGATTTGGCCGAGCTTGATTGATATTTCTGGGTTTCTCTGCCTAGACACTCTAGAGATGTTCCCCAACACTTTCCTGAGCTCCCTCTTCTTTCTTCTCTCCTCTCTCTCTCTCTCTCTCTCTCTCCTCTCTTTTCTTTTTCTTCCAATTTCTATGCGAGAATGGCTGAGTTGATCTGTTAGAGGGGGTCTCTAGGGTAGATAAGAGAGTTTTGGCATGAATGAACGAGTGTAGGGGGTAGTTGGGGTCTCCTTTTGTCGGTTTGGTGCGGATTGGATGTGTTATGGCCACCCATGTGTGAGAAAATCACACACCAAAAAGTTTGCTGACAGTTTGTCTGTTGTTTGGTCTGACCCTTACCAGATTTTGATCCAGTTGACCAGAACCTGAGTCCACTCATTTTCCTCTTGGTCTGTCGGGTCAATCCAAGTTCGACTGACTGAGTTGGTCCGGAACTGACCAAGTCTTGGTCTGGCGGACCAACTCAGTTTTTCCCATTTCATTTCTTTTCTTGGTCCGTTCCTCCTCGTTTGGTCCGACTGAGTGTCTTGGTCCGGTGGACCAACCGTTGGTCAACCCCGGACAAGACATTTCTCCTTTCCCTTTGTTCTGTTCCTTTGGTCAGACGGAGTATTCCTCTTCCGAAGACGTCTGGTCTGGCGGACCAACACTTGGTCAGCCCCGGACCAGACTTCTTCCCTTCTTGGTCCGTCTTTTGGGTTCGACGATGTGATCTTCCTCCGAACGCGTCTGGTCCGGCGGACTGACTATTGGTCAGTCCTGGACCAATCCTCTTTCCTGAATTATTAACTGTATTTATTTAATTATTTATTCTCGAAAATAATTAAATATTTTCTTCGGGATCCGGAGTATTACATTGGGCTTCTGCTACAGTGCAAGAGAAAGAGTCGATCGCGATGGCGATGGTCTACGTCGTGTTTTTCCCAAACAGTTTGAAATAAAGTCTCACTACCCATCATAGTTTCGATTGATATAGTGACTATAAAGTGACATTTAAGGTTCAACACTAGGCGTATGTACCCAAGTTTGGGTGGTCTAGTGGTGAGAGAACATGCAAAGCGTGGGGAAGGGTATTTACCTGAATTTCCCCAGTCCTCTGGGAGATATAGTCGGGCCAAAGGTCCGATGAACTTCCAGATTATAAAAAAAATACTAGGCGCATGAAGATACTAAACTCTTTGTAGTGGTGAGTTATTATTATTATGTTATAATTGCACTTGATTTAATTTAGATTAAAAAATATCATATCTAAATATAAAAATTTGTATTTTTTATATTTTTGTTTTTATATTGAAAATCATATATATTTTTTCATTAACACGATATTTGAATTAGTTATATTTTACAATCCACATAGTATGAATATCGTGCACGTTTCAATTTTATGGATATCAATTCAATTTTGTAGACTCTTTTAATAAATCTTTTGATTTTTTGTATAGTCTTGTAGTTTTATATTAATAGATTTATTAAAAAATAATAGATTTATATAAGATCTGATTCGATATGCGAGTTATTCCTTTTTATTAATTAACATCTTACTATATTACTTGTATGAATTTTATTGAAAAAATGTTGTAGATTATTTGTTTGATAAAAAAAATATTTATTAATATTTTTATATAAAATTTTGTCTATATTGATGTTTTATCCTAATTTCTTTGTTATTATACTTTTAAATTTATTTATTATTATTTCATAATAATTTTATTGTATATGGAAAGAGAGAATGGAGTTTCTTTTCAACAACAAAAGATCCAATTGAGAAATAATAGTTATAAGTAAAAGCACACGAAAACATATAGGAATAATTATAAGTAGAAGCAAAAAGATATGATAATTGATTTCTTAGAAGTCTGTAAATATCAATTATAAAACTATTTTTATATTCTAACGTGATTACAAATTTTTGAGATCCGTTATTTTAATTTAACGATTGATAAAATAGAAAATGATTTTAATTTACAAGGCACACAAAATCATTATTAATTAGGCTTTTTATATTATGTTTAGCATGACAAAATCTAAAACTAAATGTCTATATGATTTGTGATGAAAACTTAATTTCCCTGTCGTTTAAAGTTAGCGTGTAACATGATATTATTGATATTTCCATTTTATATTAAACGATTATATTATCAATTCACCTTTTTACTCGTTTAGCATGATAAAAACTAAAACAAATGTGTGTATGATTTCTGGTAAAAAAAATATTTCCTTTAGAAAAATATAAAATGTGATGAACACCAAAATGATTAAATCTAAATAATTAAAAGTAAGAAATTATTTGATTTGGATAGCATCATCTCGAGAATTTATACAAACATTTTAATTTATCAAAAATATAAATTAATGTTTTACTAAGCAATGCGGAAGTTCGATTTTGTACTTGTCGGTCCTAAATCACAGTTTATGCGGTAAAATAAAAATTATAACGCATAGAAATCATATAAAAAAGCTCATGGGATTTTGGACGACGACCTTTATTTATATTTTTTTTACTGTGGCCTCGAGATAAAATCGGAAAATAACACACGGCCACGTGTCATCATCAACAAGCTCACCCCTCCCTTAAATACAAAAGAAACACAACTTGCTTAACTTAAACCTTCAATTACTGAATTATTAAACAAGAAACTAGCCAAAAATTAAATAATTATCACCTTCGCTTATAAACCGAGGGAGAAAGGGAAACCGGTCGACGATAACCAGCCTCCCCCACCGATAAACCGGCCAGCGGTAAACGCCTGAGCCTCGGTGGCACTTGTAATTACCTTAAAGCCCCTCCACTTCACTCTATTAGCAGTCCCTGCCCCTGCTCCTCTGTTCGCATACTCCCTATACGTAAGAGTGTTCAACGCGAAGTTCCCGGTCCACTCGTGCCAACCTTCCGGTCGGATCACATCGGAGATATCAGATTGCATCACGACCGTCCGTGAGTATTCCTTCCACGGACGGCCCAGATACGTCGGGAAGCTACCCTTGACGGACTGGAGATCCGACGTGGCACCTATCCGACATTTCTGGATCACGATCCCTGTTGTCAAGAATCACGGAATAATTATATTGCGAATATGGAGTTATGTTATATACAAAAATTCATCAAACAATGTTTCTTTAGGACTACACACGGATATATTTTTATAAGTTAAAACATTTTAAGGAATGAAAACATATCAGAAATATTATAATATTTTTTTGGATGAAATGTGAATTATATTACAAACTGAATGCTGTAATTTTTTAATTTCGATCGTGATTGTAACCATGATTAAACGATTATCATAGACGGGCAAGTTTCATTTCGATTCTTAATTTCCTCATAGCTTGTTTCTAACTAGAATACTAAATCTAGTTGAATAATGAAATAGAAATATTATCTAAATGGTAATAGCATGCTACCTGTGTTCTGATTAGGGTCGGTCCGACCTTGGGCCGTGACCATGTTCTTCTGACCGGAGTTCGGTCTACGTGCGTGGATGTCGCAGTCCTGCAAAACGACCGCGGCATTGCCGAAGATGAAGTCCACGGTTCCTGTGACGAGGCATTTTACGAAGAACTGACGGTTCGAGTGGACATAGAGCGAGTCTTGGTATGCTAATATGTCGCATTGGTAGAAGGCCGAGAAGTCCGAGCCGACGCGTAGGGCCACGGCCTGGTGCTTCGACGGTCCTGCCGTGTTCTGGAACGTGATGTCACGCGCCAAGAACCTTTCTCCGACAGCGGCTGTTCAAATTCGAGGAAACAAGAACGACAATTACAGTGAAAACTCCAAGAACAAGAACAAGTTATGGGATCTAGTTGTTTGAAATATCTATACGTTATTGAAAACTCCAAGAACAATATATATACGTTATTGATATTTCAAATATAAAAACATCGACCCTGCAAGTGGTTTTGTACAAGAATGAGATTGAATTGGTAGATATGAAAGTAAATGTAAATTCAAGTCATTCAAATGAAGCTTAGATTGATTTTTTGAGATCAATGTAATAAAAGCAACTTTTTTTAAATGTTTTAAGCGAATATATATATATATATATATATATATATATATCTGTGTGAGAAGAACACTTGAATGCGAACAAGTTGTAGTCCTATCATCACATGGAAAGATCTATCAAAATTAAACTCAAAGTGGACACGAAGGCATGGAAAAGTCAACAATGGCACCACAAAAACCAGAAAAAGGCAAAGACAAAGGGAACAAAGCAATCAAGTGGGTTGTGTCCGTATGCCTATGGGGCAGTGGGATAAAGACATGAAAGGAAAAAAGACAACTGTGACAAGGAAAGCATGAGCTATTCACCAATAAAAGATAAAGAACTCCATGCAATAATAATTCAATTCTAACTGAGTTTCAGTCCGAGTTGGACATTTCAAACTCGTAATGAAGACCCGTTTTTTTTTTGTAATAGAATGTCGTGTACCAAAGACCACATTAATTTTGGTATTGGTGATCAGTTAAAAAATTTGAAATACACACCTCTATCTATAAATTTAAGGTTCGAATTCAAAATAAAACAGAGGTTTTACACTCCATGTCACTAATTGAACTATCAAATTTGGATATAAAGAACAGAGGTTCTTCTTTGATATAAACATATATATATATATATGCATGTATGTGTAGCTAAGTTTATGCCTAAAGAGTAACTACTTAGGGTAACGTAAAGGGAAAATCATCCAAATAACTCACTTGGGTCGCATCTATTTCAGTGTACACCACCCAAAAAAAAAAAATCAATTTTAACCCACTTTTCGGTGAGAAAAGTCTGAAATACCCTTTTCGTTTTATTTTTGGCGACTTTATTACGACTAACATATAACTGATATACAACTAAAAATAAGACAGATAATTTTTTGCCACCTTTTTTAGAATCAATTGTAACTATATTTAGACTTAATTACGAAGTCGTAATAACGAAATTGTTTTTGAACGGATAAATATCATAATTCATTAAGGGTAATTTCGTCTTTTCGCAAAAAAAATGTGTTATGTTTTCGGTGGCGTACAGATGAAATAGATGCGACCGAAGTGGGTTATTTGGGTAAAAAACCCTAACGTAAAGCCATTCTTGAAAATTTTACACATTGTGGCGACTGGTCCTGCCAGAATTCAATCGTTTTCGAGACGCATATGACGTTAGATTTTCTAGCACATACGTCATTGCAAGACATTTCAAATGCAATTTTCAATTATTATATCTAATACTATTATGTATTTTATGGTCCATTTCAATGATCGATTAATCATGTTACTATTTCGGTTTTGAAAAATGAAAGAAAAACTCTTTAATCATGGAACCAAAGATTTTGAACCGTCTAAATGAGCAAATGAACCGGTTTCACCCAATCTTTTAAAAGCGAAATTATTAATAATGACAAAAAAATAATAATATATGAAAAAGTAAAGAAAGAAAAAAGACTGAACGTACCAACTGTGGCGGAGTGGAAAGTGGTGCTTCCATCGACAACGTTCCTACTTCCGGTGATAATAGTCCTCGTCCGACCATCCCCCATGAACATTATGTTCTTCTTCTTCTTCGCAACCTCCACGTTCTCTCTATAAACTCCTGCCTTTATGTGAATCACATACCTCTTGTTGCTGTTTTCCGGCGCCGCCGCCACCCCCGCCGCCACTGTCCTGAAGTTCCCGCTGCCGTCGGCGGCAACCGTGGCGTCGGCTTTCACCGTCGTTGACTGAAGGAGCCTCCGATCTCCCGCCGAGAGCCACTTCGGCCACCCGTCGCCGTCCATCTCTCCGCCGCCGACAACCGCCGCCGGATCTTCCACGAGCTTGCGGTGGTGGTTGTTGGCCTTGAGCTCGAAGTTGGCGATGTCGGTGTCGGTCATGTTCTTGATCATCGCTAGTGCGTTGCTACACATGTGCTCTACGTGTATCTGATGTGACCGATTGATATGAAATTTATTATTAGGTATTATGAAACTAAAATGACATAATTATAAAAAAAAATACTTTTATGTTGTGGTTAATAGTTATAGCAAACGTATTTTGTTTTCCAACTTATGACTGTTACGCTAATTGACACTAATTGATGAGTCTAGATATATTAATCATTATTTATGTACATTATCACTCTAACAATGATATGCCTATGTGGACCGATCCATGTGGGAGATGAAAAGTACGGGATTCGAGTAATATCATTTTATTATAGACTATGGAAAAGATAAATCTTTAAAAAACGGAATAGATGTTTGTCGAATTGAAAGGTGCCAAAACTATGCAGTATATATCCTAACATTTATAATATTATTATATATACGTTAAATCCAGAATAAGATAGAATATAAAAGATTTATGCATAAAGAAATAAATAAAGTATTTTTCTATCGTCTATACCCTATAACTTAATCATTTCTTGCCAACAACTTGCATGTGCATATATTGTCCAAATCGGCAGACAACTTTACAAGAATCTAATGCAGATGTGTTTTATATAATCATGTTAAAGACTTAATTCATTTATTTCCATTCTCTCTAATAAAAAAATGATAAAAAAATAAATAATAATTTCAATAAGGATTCAAGAATGGAAGTGCAAGTAGTAATGAGTATGCATGGGTATCGTTACCTGGCCTTTCTCCAAGGCCTTGCGAACTTTCTTGTCAGCATCGTCATGGGAGAAACCGTCGAGACAAGTTTCTTGGTTGGTAATGGCGGAACTGATTAGGGTTTTGAGATCATCGGCATGCTGTCGGAGAGATTTCTTGTCGGGATACTCGTTCAGATCATCCATGGCCTCGTGAAGTTCATCTAAAGTCTCGTCTATCGTCTCCAAGCAATCATGTAACGCCGTTTTCTCGCGTTTCGTCAGACCTTTCCTCTTCTCCAACAGCTTCTTGATCGTGAAGTAGTTGTGTTCTACCGCTGTCGTCGTTATGTTCAGTGACGCCTCGATCACGTCCCTTTGCGACGTCAGCTCGACCCCTAACGTATTACCAGATCGTATAAGAAAAGTGAATATATATATATATATATATAACGTCGATAGAGAATTACAAATTCCATATATATGTGTGCGTATGTATGTATATGAACCTGTTAGGGCTGAGGTGGAGATGGCAGAGACGCATAGGTCTTGGTACCGGGCGGAGCTGCAAGCGGACCTAAGGACAACGTGGGACGACGGGGACAGGTTCGAGGGTTTCGAGTTGGCTTTGGCAGCTCCGGCGACGATTCCGGCGACGGCGGCGACGAAGAGAAAGGCCGTTGCGGCCGTGAGGATTATGAGTTTTTTGTTGTTCTTGAAGTCGGAGAATTTGGATACGAAGTCTTTGATTGGTGCCATTTTTTCTGACACTGTTGGTGATGGATGATGTGGTCGTGAAGTGTGTGTGTGTGTGGGAGATGGGGTTTTATTCTTGAAATTTATTTGATAAAAGGAAAATATAATTTAAAATTTTGTTTATTATTTTCTTGATTGTGTTATTCGAGTTGGATTTTATTTATAAAAAAATTGTGACCCACTTGTCTTAAAGATATTATTTTTCTCTGTATGTTATATCCACTCTTTTCCTGACACAAGTCTTTTTGTCTTAAAAAAACATTTGGTATTTTTAAAACAATGAGTAGTAATTATTATCCTCCGACGACATATGATAAGGGACATTTACGCTTACCGAATATGAGCTGACCAGTTCGGTTCGGAAATTTAGTTAATTCAAATAGAATTGAATCGAATCGAATAATATTTGGTGTTAATTTGATATATTTTTTAACCGAATCAAACCATACAAATACCGAATTGAATCCGACAAATACCGAAATAAAACATGAATTATCCATCAACACATGTGTAAATATTATGGTTTGTTATTTATTTGGTATTCATATGACGATATCGTTGCGAACCAACCCGACACTAAAACTGAATCAATTGTTTAATATTTGGTTCTAAACTTTTATAAAACCAAAAATTTGGTTCTCAACCGAACCATTTGAATACCAAATCGAAATATGGAGTGCTCACCCCTACCGGTCGCATCCACCTTTATAACGAAACGTTAACCAAAGCATGATGCGTATAGTTAATTACAGATAAAGTTAATTTCGCAGTGTATATTATAATACTTGTTTTTCTATGAATCATGAAAGTATAATAGACAAATTAATACCAAAATATGCCTTTCTCTATCGAAAATGATTTCAAAAAAGCATGTGCCTCTTTATTTTATAGTAGACCCAACGTTAAACTTTGAAAAGAGAACTTAACACTTAATTAAAGAATCAAGAATATTTCCTTTCATTTTTACATAAAATTCGCACAAAAGATATATGAACTTTATTCGATTGATTTTTTTTTGGAAAATCCCTCATAATTACGATGCTTTCTTTTTCATGAATAATAACTACGACATTTACAATTTTTTCGGAATATATTTTTAAAATTTAATAAAAAGGGTATATTTGCCAATAATAAAAAGGGCACAAATCATGTTTTTTTTTTTCATTTCATGAAAATTATAATTTAGTAATCTATAATCTGAAGCAAATAGTATATCAAATTATAAAATTTGTCAGTCACGACAAGAATATTTATCTGATTTAGTTGTTGTGGTTAACAATCGTTCTTATACTAATAAACGAAATCTAATTTTTAAAAGAAAATCTAATCAATAGCAGGAAAACCTAATCTGTTTAAATTAATAATACTATATGTACCATACGTGGATTTGCATGTGAAATGATTACGTATACCAGCTAAGCCGTATATCTTATCTTATAACAAATAATGACATAAACAATAATCGCATATGAAATACACAAAAAGTATGAAATAAATGCTAATAGTATGGGAAATTCGTATCAAATTCTAATTGCATTGAATTTTGTACGTTCATAAAATGTTAATTTTATATTGCTTAGTGTACATAATAAAATAAATCTCTTTGCTATCACTCACTCATCCATTGCACTGCGATTATGAATAAAATAATATTGTTACCATGAAATGAGTAAAACCACAAGGAAATCCTATATAATATATTATATATAGATGGATGAAATTGTTTGAATAATTTATTTCATTTTTAATATAAATAAATTATTTGACGAGAAATTGTTTATTTTGAAACACCAAGAGGACGTGAAAGGGAATGCCAGTGAGCGAATATTCTGCTTTTGTAAATTTACTTTTTTTCCAATAAATTAAATAATGATAAATATCTAAAATATGGACCTATCGCTGTCGACTAGGCTGCTAAGCTGTAACGGACCCATCTACACCCTTACTTTAATTATTTTCATTTCGATTTATATTATTTTATCTGACATAATAATAATAATAATAATAATAATAATAATAATAATAATAATATCATCTACAACGGTATTTCACACGTTTTAGATCTAAGCTTACCCAAGTGTTTTATCTCAAGATTTCGAATACCAATTTCAGACAAAAAAAAGGTATATTGTTATATATTTTCATTTGTTTAAATTAGTGATGTCAAAGGAGCCGGCTCGGATCAGCCCGTGACGAGCCAGCTCGTTTACAATTCAACTCGTTAAGCCCGTTTATATTCAGACCAAGAAATTCCTGGCTCGATCCAAGTCGCTCTAACTCGCGAGCCGAATAAATATAAAAATAAAAATAAAAATATTAAATATAATTAAAAAATATTAAAATAATAATTTAAAAATAATTATTAATATATTTAAAAATAAGAAAAATTATTTAAAATTGATAAATCTTTTTAAAAATTATTAAAAAAACTATTAAAAAAATAAAATAATTTTTTTCTGGCTCGCGAGCCAACTCGAATGATCGACGCAACACTCATAAACCCCTTCTGTAATTGCAGAAACACAGAGCTTAACGAATCTTATAACAGCGATCCTTCAGAGAATGGGGGATGACATTGATCCCGACCGCTTGCCTCAGATCATGGTACGTAGAAAGAAGAGGAAGAAAAGCATTCCGTAACTAAGAAACGCGAAATATTTTAATGCTAACTGGCACAAAAAATGTGTAGTATGAAGATGAAGACCACGACCAAGTAATGTTGGCATCGGATAGTGATCTCTCAGCTGCTGTGGAGCATGCGAAAGCAATTGGTTGGAAGGTACACTTGACACTCGCTTAATGTCAACTAATATAAACGATTAGGCTTAAACCGATTGCATAACATGTGTTAAAACAACCGCCATCTCGGGGCATTCCTTCTAGCCCAGTTCGGGACTATATGGGCCAGCTCTCGAGCCAGCTCGCGAGCCGAGTTCATTTTGACATCCTTAGTTTAAATTTTGTTTGAAATTAGACATATTTTGTGTCCAACACATTAGTCTATCCAATCTACTAATACAAATCCAAATTACATACATTGACATAAAACGCAACGTCTAACAAAATAAATTATATATTATGACAATTTGATATAATAAAAAATAAAAAGACCCACATGAATTTGCCCTCCATCCCCACTTGGACAATGAAAGAAGAAACACTGAACTTACCTAAAATCGTATATGCATTATATCAAACAAAGACTTGTCGTCTGACGAACAAAGGTCTTTGATTTGTCTCCTTCTGGTTTGGATGTTACATGGTACCTTTTTATTTTATCGAAAGACATTGTTACAACATTCTTATCGATGTTTCAATAATTTTATTGCAATAAAAAAGATATTTGAAAATCAAAATCTCGTATTAACAATCTAAATTTGGTGGTTCAATCGGTAAGAAAGAGACCAAAATTCTTTTTCCAACTCGAGTTCGAATCCTCATTTGAAAAGCGACATTAACATGAATTTTCTCAATCATGTGAGAGATATAACCATATCAAAGATCCGATAAACTTGCAAATTATATATAAAAAAATCTCGTTTCAACTTGTTATTTAGGGCAAATTCATGTGGGCAGGGGTAAACTATTTAAAATATCCAACGCAAAATTGTGGTTAGTCAGTTTTTAATTTTTTTTTTTGCTCGAGCAGTAAGGTTAAGCTCTATAAAATAATATTATACAGCCTAAACTGTATAAAGTGAAGGCTCTATTCAAAGTTGTAAGTTTGTAGAAGAAATTCTGTAAAATAATATTGAATACGTATATGTACAGCCTAAACTGTAACCAGAGTTTGAATGAAAGAACTAATTGTTTGTTTTGCAAATTTGCGGGTATGAATTATAATCAATTTCAATAATATATTTGACGACTGAATTTGATATTATAAATAATTGTCATATTTATGCAATCTAAATGTCATTTACAAAATCATTTTGCATCCAAAATACATCAACCATATATCAATTATCGGTCGATGGGGAAACCCAGGTGGGTTAGCTAAGAAGTGTGGGGGAAAACCATGAGGTCGGGGGTTCGACTCTTTACCGCCTCCTTGGCTCTCACCTGTCGTCTATCAGTTACGGCTGATTTACCTCCCACGTATGTGTTGCAGACTCGTGTGCGTGGATTTGGGGTTTTCTTTGATCTGCGATGTTATCCTGATGCCGTTTTCGTCTGACCCATTAGATTGTGCGGCGTTACAATATCCGGTGTCCGACCCGAAGGATTGTAGGATATGGTGATTTGTTGATTTCCCTCTTTGGCGGGGAAAAGGGTGACAACTGACAAGGATCAGGCTGATTTTCGCTCAAGAGACACGTGGGACCATATACGGAGACCAGCAAGTCATGTAACATGTCATCGGCTGGTTTGGTTTACTAATGCTATTCCCAGACAAGCTTTCACTCTTCGGCAGGTCTTCCACCGAAAGCGCCGAACCGGTGTGTTCTTTGCCGTAAGGAAGCGGAATCTCGAATATTCTTGTAAGCCTTATGAACTCTTTACGGTAGTAATATAACTTTCACATTAAAACCAAAAAAAAAAAAATTGTCGGTCGACCAACTGTCCGTGAAATGCTCATTATAATGGTCAAACTAATTATAGATGTTTTTATTATTGAATAAATATATCATTTATGCTTCCATTCACCAGATGTGACGTGATGATTGCATGAACATGCCAAGTCAGCCTCCGCCAAATGCATTTTGCATTTCCTCCATCTGTATGGTTTTATTTGCAAAATATTATATATATATA